GTGTGTGTGTGTGTGTGTGTGTGTGTGTGTGCGCAGGGCCTCTGTACCGATTTTTCATCTCGAGACCGGCAAAAGCTGCAGGGCTGAAACTTTGGGGACTTAATCTACATGCACGTACGGGCCCCCACTCCCAAAGTTGTCGGTCTTTCTCGTGTGGTACCTACGTAAGAGCCCGCCAAAGTTTTTTACGGGTAAGCTGCTAACTCGCGAACTAGAAAAACTAGAGAGCTGAAATTTTATGAGAATGTTCCCCGTCCAAGTAGGTACCAATGAGCCCAAACCCAACCCCCGGGTAAGCGTGGTGCCCGCGTACGGGCCCGCCAAAATTTTTCCCGCGTAAACTCATAACTCGGGGTTCTGAAATGCTAGAAAGCTGAGATTTTAAGGGAATGTTCTCCGTCCAAGTAGGTAATAATGAGCTTAAACTCAACCCCCCGGATAAGCGTGGTACCCGCGTACGGACTTGTCAAAATTTTCCCACGTAAATTCATAAGTCAGGGATCTGAGGTGCTAGAAAGCTGAAATTTCTAGTGTTTTCTGCCGGTTTTGGCGGCCAGTCATAATTTGTTTAGCTAGAAGGATTTCCCAAAAAACCGATGCCGGTAGCGACAAAAACCTGCGGGGGACTCTGCAAAAAAACGCATCTTCGCACGGGCAGCCCGTGCGTTGGCCATTTATAATATTTTTGATATTATGCTTGTCGTAATAGTCTTCTGCGCGACTGTTGCATCTGAAGCAGGAGCAATGTCCGACGCATTTTTTTTTTGTCTCTCCGAAATTGTGGTGCTCTGAGAATACGTCAAATTTCATTTATGAATTGGGCGTGCTCGCAGGACTATAATAGAGAATAGCTACCAATTTTGCATGATTATTCAATTTCGGTGGATGTTCATTATCATTAAAACGAACTTTTTTTACACTGCTCATACTTAGGTACAAAATTTTTTTAATCCATCATCTTGTGGTTTATTTTCTTTGTTTTTTTCAGTTCATTTTTTCTTTGATTTACGCTTTTTTGAGGAAATGTATATTGGTAAAGCCTGTTTGTGTGTGTGTGTGTGTCTTGTAAGTATGTATGTGCATATTGTACATGTTGCACATTGCACTTATGCATGTTTATGTATGTGTGTAGAAAATTGTGTATGTATGTGTATGTTTGTTTTGCACCTTATATATGTGTATGTTTGTGTATGGGTACGTATGTGTGTTTTTGCATTTTTTTTTTTGTGTGTATTTTGGGTGTATATGAATTTGTGCATGAGTATGTATGTGTTTGTGATTGTATGTACGTGTTTGCGCATGTTTGTGTGTGCTTTGGGTGT